ATTCTATTCTATTCTATTCTATTCTATTCTATTCTATTCTATTCTATATTAATACATAGTTACATAAAACAAATCAGGATTGTCAACCTTAAAGGTTGTTGTCTTTGTTTTTTTCTGTATATTTTTTTCAGTTTAAATGGTTGCTATCTTGGTCAAAGAAGAATAAGTTTTTTCTAGAAATGTAGGGAAAGAACAAGGAGTTGTGGTTATGTGAACATGTCTTCGAAAAAATAATAATTCAAACATCTGTTGCTGCAGCATGTGGGACATGAATACGAAACCTTTGTTGGAAGGCAATATTTCTAAGACTCAGTTAGCTATACAAGAAAAGATCCTTTCTGTTGAAGAATGATAATGAGGTGACACCAACTGACATGGACATATTTATTATGAGATAAATTTGAGCCTCCTTTCCACCCCCTAGGGAAACTAACAATCAAGATCAATAATTGCATTGAAGTGACTTTCAGATTAAGCGACCTCTTAGAAATCAAAGGCCCATACTAAATAGAATTTCTTTTCTAGTTCTCCGTCATTAATTCTTATATTTTGACTTGACTTTCAAGTCAAGTTTCAATACTTCAGTTTTCTTGGCCATGGTATCAGACCAGTCATTATGATTATGCACTGAAAGTTTGGCACTCTTTTCCATAAATAGAAGACCTATTGCACTATCCCAGTGGGATGAAAGAGAAGCATAAATAACTCTGACTAGATCTGGTCTGCTTAAGAATATCCCAAACAATGGACCTTGCCTATGAGATGACACTATCCCCAACCAGGACAAGCTGAATCCTAATTCCAAAGCTTATTTCCCACTGGGTCCAACTACACTCCCACCATCAGTCTTGATTCAATTTCACTGGATTCAGTTTCTCATGTTTGGGGACCAATGTCCCCTGAAAGGGCAGATTGTCTATGATGTTCTTAAAAGCCTTAGCCAGAGTTATCTATGCCTTTCTTCTCCCGCATTGAGAACTTGGGGACTGGCCAACATCATTGCCTTTTTCTTTGTTACTTTGGGGTAAGGAACAATCAAACATGAGGCTATCAGCAGCAGAATCCCCAGGATTTCAGAGCCTCTGTAATTTTTATGGAGTTTTTAAATGGCAATACCAGATTGCAGAGAGGACATAAAACAATATTGATCTCTATCCTAAGGTATAGCCCTAAGGTATGGCTGAATGAATTAAAACAGTATTCTGTATGAATACTGAAGGACAATAGTACCCAAATCTTTTAAGAAATCTACAAGGGTTTTCCTCCCCATGTTCAATTCTCAGTCAAGGTCATCTACTTAGTCATCAGGCTTAGCCCGGTTGAAATGAATCCTAAAGCTGTGAAAGAGAGAGAGAAAAACATGTGATTATTTCACCCACCTTCCTGAGGAATTTTAGCTGTGAAAGAGCATCCTGGTTGTTAATAAGTATCTGTCTATCAAAATTCTCCACTTTTTCAAGTACAGAATTATCCTTAGCAGAAGCCCTGCAGATCCTGATCATCAGATCTCCTTCTACATCTCCATTTGGTTTCAAGTACAGTTTGTCTCGGGAAAAATTCCAAAATTCATTCTTAGCCAGAAAGGGATGGAACTAGAATAGAAATATCCAAGAACCTTAAAAGCAGAAAACTTGGTTTCTCTTCTCCCATGGTCTATGCACAATTAAATCCTTCTTCTACAATTATCAAACTTGCTCATATATTAAATTGTTAGAAAAAAGGTTAAGATCTTTTTTTTCCATACTGTGGGATATAGCAAAATGAATTTGGTCACAAAATAGCATAATCTGGTAGAATTCAAAGAAATATATCCTAATGGGATAAGGAGTTTTAGAGGCGAGCCAATAAAGCAGAGAAGTTCAGTCTCCCTTTCACTGATTATCTCAATGCAAAGACTGAGCAGCCATCAGTTAAAGAAGCTTTAACTGAGATTCCTACAGAGAGGAGGGGTTGAGCTAGATGCTCTCAGGTTTTCCTTCAAATTTATAAGGCAATTTTTTTAAAATGCATATATTATTTTTAAAGGTAACGGGATTTAATATTAAAATGCATCTGTCATGATGCTGTCTCTTTGGAAGATTATGTGTTGAGCAATTAGATTGACCAAATCTGTTGGCCTTTTCTAGCACAAGGAGGTTGAGATGGTTCTCTTACTTCCCCTTTGGATTCCTTCTCCAAAAGAATTTGATTTGATGCACCCTTGTTGGTACTCCATACCTGCCATGGTTGTAGCCTTGGTGCCCCAAATATATTTTTACTCTCCTTTCTTCTCCTCTGTGATACAGATAAATATGCTGCATTCAAGGCATGGGCCAGAGTCAAAATGAAACTGTAAATATAGGAGTCATTGGGCATCCAGATACTGTTCCTTTTCTTTTGGGTCTCCAGTGGTGATTTCTGGGTGCATCTTCTTCGTCCTTTGACAGAAAAGATGTGCTTGGAAAAAGAACAGCGAAAGGACTTATCTTCATATCTGCGTTCCAGAAAGAGACCTGGTTCAAAGCCATAATCTTTTCTCCTTTTTCTAACCTGTAAAGCAAAGTTCCAAATACTATGGACAAATCTGAGAATTTTACTATTTTTAACTGGGCAATCCACATAAGTTGCCATGATCCAGATTTTCCCTTCAACAGGTCCTGGCAAATGCCCAAGTGTTAAATGGAAAGGAAGAATTCTGTCCGAAAGGGAAACAAATTCTATGAAGTGAACATAGACATTGACTTGTCTCCACTTAGAGATGGCCTCCCTGATGGGTGCTGTATTTCCAGTTGTTGAGAATTGTTGAGATATAACAATACAAATTCCATTCCTGACAAGCGTAGGAGCCAATGTCCTCATGAAATGCTCTCCCTCCTCTGTGTCTGAAGCAAAGAGACCAATCAAGGTCCATTTGAAATGCAGGAGCACTTGGATAGTTCTTTGGTAGAAGAACCCTTTTTTGGGTAAAAGCTGATGATGAAAGGGGAATTGACTTTTTTCCTTCAGAGCTTCTGAACCAAATGCACAATTGATCTGAAAAAGCAATGAAAAATGCTATGTTACATGTGGGGTCACATCAAGTTCAAAATATTGGGTTTCAATACATTCAATTACTGTTGATTAGTTATCAGTCCATATCAAGATACAAAATATAACTCATGGGACCTTAATAAGACTGTACATAAATATAGAAGAAAAGAAATAGGTAGAAGAAAATATGATAAAGAATGCAAATCGTATTTCTGGATCACCTTTAAAATTTATTTTACAATACCCACATATGCAGATCTCAACTGAACTGATTTGTTCCAATAAAAGGCTCATGTTAAACTTAATTTTTGAATTCTGCCCAAACAGAAAATATGTTATTTTAATACAAGGAATGAATGAATGAATGAATGAATTTTTTTATTGGAAAAGTGTGATTAGACACACAAGGAATTTGTCTTGGTGAATATCTCTCAGTGTACATAAAAAGAAAAGATACATTCATCAAGAATCATAATGTACAACACTTAATATAGTCATAGGGTACAAATAAGCAATCAAATCATACTAGGAAACAGTCAATATAAATTGTAAGGATACAAGCAACAAAATTATAGTCATACAGTTACAAGTGGGAGGGGATGGGTGATAAGGAGTGGTGGGAAGATTAATAGTAATAGTAATGTAGACTTAGTAAATAGTTTGATAGTATTGAGGGAATTATTTGTTTAGCAGAGTAATGGTGTTCAGGAAAACTGTTCTTGTGTCTAGTTGTTCTGTTGTGCACTGCTCTATAGAGTCGTTTTGAGGGTAGGCGTTGAAACAGTTTGTGTCCAGGATGTGAAGGGTCTGTAAATATTTTCACAGCCCTCTTTTTGACTCATGCAATATGCCCATTAGGTTACCAATCTAATCTGAAGTTCAAGATACTGACCTCCCTTTTTTGCAGAATTCACATTCAACTAATATATATGTTACATATTCTAGCTCTGGAAGCTAGTTTCCATTGTAAGGGACTTGGTTAAATATTCTATTGTGTCCAGCTCCTCAAATTTTGCTTGAGTAAGTACTACCCTAAGATGTTTGGCATTTCTTCATTTAAAAACTTCGCAGTTTGGAAAGTTCTGTATATAGTGGCACATCCATTTCAAGGTGTCAATTTTACTGAGGATGGTTATATCTTTCTCTGCTTCAATATCCTGGATGCTTTGTGCAGAAAACTTTTAACTTCTTATCCAGTTGTATGAGAGATTAGATAGATAGATAGATAGATAGATAGATAGATAGATAGATAGATAGATAGATAGATATAGATTAGATATAGATATAGTTTGTCAGTTGTATAAATCAAAGTATCTTTAATTGAATGATTGCCTGCTCTAAAATGCAGAACTTTGGGAGTTTGATAGGTTCCTTGGCTTCCACAGCTATATTTTATTTATTTATTATTAATTAATTTTATGTTGCCCACCCCATTGATAAAGCCATTATTTAGACAAAGAAGAAATTATATAAATTCCCAGTTCAATTCTTAGGACAACAGCTGACATCCCTGTATCTACTTCCAAGATACTTCTCAGATTATGTGATTAGGTTTGTTCTAGTACTGATATATTTAAGTCCAACTCTCAGTTTGAAATAAGAGTATGGGGTTAACCTTAACATTATATAAATTAATGAATGGGGTTGAGGAAGTTGGGTAACTGATTTTTTTTAAATGGAAGCAGTAAATTTCCTCATGAGGGAGCCAAGATCTAGTCTCAGAAAAATAGGTAAGGAAAGGTGTTACTATGTTTGTTCATCAATGGCTATGATTTCTTTTTTGAAAACTTTGACTATGATTTGGTAGTAATAGATAAGTACTATGATAGAATGTGAAGTCTTCTTCACAGACAACACAACCAAAATTGTGTGTATGATACAAATATATTAGAGTTAGCCTGTGGTAAGATGGGCGGACAATAAATTTAATTAATTAATAAAATATTGTCAGTCTACAATAAGGTGTTACGATGGGGACAGGGGTGGGATTCTACTGGTTCTCACCTATTTGCTAGAACCTGTTGTTAACTTTCTAAGCAGTTTCGAGAACTGGAAGAACACTCGTTTTGTTTTTTTCCACCCTTATTACATTCTTGGTAGTATGCCTAAACACTGTATCCAAAGGAGGTATTTTTTTGTTCTTTTCTGGTACTTTCTTAAAAGTTTTACTTTAAGAAGCAGTATACCTAAACACTGTATCCCAAGGAGTTTTTTTTTTACTTTACTTTTACTTTTTTTTACTTTTACTTTTTTTTGGTACTTTCTTTTAAGCTTTTTACACTGCTGTTGGGAGGAAATACTCCCCTGGAAATATTTCCAGCAGCATGCAGCAATCAGCACTTTGAAGAAATAATTGAATAATGAAGCAGAGCTGCTGGAAAGAAGCTTTTAATAACAAGGAACCAAGATGAGTGATATTCAGCAAGTCTTCTTGGCTAGTTAGAAAGATTGACATTCAAATGTGTTTACGTAAGTTTTGGTCTAAAAGTTTTGGTTTTTGGTGAAGTTTAATTCTGTGCTTGGTGATGTTTAATCCTGTGTTTATTGATGGGATAATTTTCCCTATTCAGCTTTGTTTGGCAGGAAAAAGGTTAATCTCTGTTCTTGAAAAGAAACCAGGTTGAGAAATCTGACTAGTTCCTGTGTCTATTTGTTCTTGTAATTGGTTTAACAAGCAACAACTATTGTGATTTAATTATTTGTATTGTGTTTGAATTTTTTCCTGTCACAGTTTCTTTTTCTATCTGGGGTCTTCCTTCACTGCTTTAGTGGTATGTGGCACTGTCCTTTTGGGGTGTACTTACAAAAAACAGGATGCAAGCTTGGCATTGATTTTTTTTACTGACTTTCTATGGGGCATGTGACCTTTCCTTAAATCTGGGTGATTTCCTTAGGATATCTTGTGAGGTGAGTGAGACCAGCTGGTATTTTTAAGTGGTGCAAATGAATCTAAGGACTGCTTCTCCTGGGTGTGCTCTTTCTGGAAAGCTTAAATGACTTCTTTGCTAAAGGGTTACACTTTATGAGCAAGAGTTGGCTACTGATAGTTATCATTGCATTTTAACTATTTTAATTCCTCAAGGTGCTCTGGCACTCTGCCTGACTTGTAACTCTGGCTTGCAGGTATTTGTAATCTAATGATTGGTATTTAGGGCAGCTTTTTGCAAGCAAAGAAGCTTTTTTGTATTTTTTGTACAGGTAAACTTTGACTTACAACAGTTCATTTAGTGACCATTCAAAGTTACAACAGCACTGAAAAAAGTGACTTATGACAATTTCCACACTTACTTATCACCTTCAAAAGTATGCATTAGAAGCCCCCAAAACAATGGGGATGGTTTCATGAGAGAAAATTGCTTATTTGATTTTTGTCCCCTCTCCACTGTGAGTCCTAATCCTTAGGCATGACATCTACAATAGCCATTGTGAAAGCAGCTCCTGAATTTCATACAGAAAATTTGGTTGGATCTGTCACTTAGCCACCCCTACCAAACAAAACTTACCAGATAGAACAACATACAAACAAACCTGAGAGACTTTGTAGGTGCCTATTAATGTTGACATCTGGCTGGAGATATCCCTCTTAGCTCCATCAAGAAGAGCCAAAAGATTGTCCTTCCTTCCACAGCTGTAGTTGGGAACATTGGCTTCTCCAGTAGAGAGCATGTCCAGCAAGGCATCTGAAGTACCAATTGTGCTCAAATAGTTGTCATGAACATTGTAGCCAAGTGTGAGATTGTGCAGGACCCTCTGATTCTTGTTGACCACTTGAATAGCGAAAATGAAGTGCAGTATTCTTGACTTATCAACAGATAAACTAGTGTAAAAATGTTCATGTTACTCACACCATCATTAACAGCAACAATACTTTTAAAAAAATACAATCCTATTTATCTCCACACACAAACTCTTAATCCAAGACTGATTTTAAACCAAAGGCCAATGATGGTTACCCATCACCATTAAGTTGGTATTAGTGTTAAGAAGATGGACTGGAGGCTTAATAGTCACAAATATATCATCATTTGTAGTGGCTGTCATTTTAATTTCTTATTGCTATTTCTCCAAGAAAAAGAATTTTTAAAAAATTAATCATTAAAGGCAAACTATCATAAAAGGAGCAGAATGTTCCATAAGTGAATCAGAAAAGCAATTGTAGAAACAAATCACGCTCTGTTTCTCTAACTACCAGGCACTGGATATCAAAGAGTAGTTCTTTAAATATGGAAATGGGCTGGGCATGTGCAATTAGAACCTATTCAATCACTACTTTGAACAAAAGCTAGTTTTCAAGTGATGATTGGAAAGGATTGGATTGGATTGTCAAAGAAAATAACTTCTTTCAGGTATTTATTTCTTCTCCATCTTTGGATTTGAGTCTCTTCCACAAAATAAGACAAAGGAAACTCGTGGAAATCAAAACAATACAAAAAATTAGAGAGAGATCCTGCAATATAGGAGTGCATGAAATAAGAAGAAAAGAATGAGAGTTAGATGGGAAAATGAAGGGAGTGCAATTCCTTCACACTGAATTACTTACAAGCGAGACTGTCTATAAGGAGCCATTTTGAAAAGCAAAGTTATATGTGGTGTTTTTGTTGCAGTTGTGACTACACCAATGAGATGGTCTCCTGGCCTGTAATAGCTCCAAGGTATTTTTCCCCCATGGTGATGATCCAAAGTCAGAGAGCACTTCAGTCTAAGGTTCCCAGAGATTGTCAGGGATGCCATCAGCATCAGAAGCAAAAGCAGGAGGTCCATAATTCATAGGGCTGAATCAATCCCCTTCCCATTTCTAAACAGTAATAAGAATAATTCAAAGCACTTTCACTAAATGGAATATCCAGTGACTTTCCTGATTCAGACAGGCACAAAACTGAGTTTCACCTGGAAAGGAAAGAAAGTACATTCAAGAGCAGTGTCCCTGTCAGTCCTAAATGTTGTGCAAAACACTCAGCATGGTTAGAGGCATTTATTCCTTTTCTGTTGCAAGATCCCTTTTATGCTCCTTCAATCTGATCTTTACATCAAAGGCAGTCATTGGAGAATTAGCAGAAGAGGTTCTCAGGCCAGGATGGTGATAATTATAGTAAGAAGCAACTTCTCCTCTGGGGGTCTTGAAGTTCTTCCTGGGCTCCATGCGCAGAGGGATAGATGGAGAAAAGCATGCAAGTGAAAAACTACAGTTTTTTTTCCTTGCATACTTTTTGTACATATCCATATAGAATAAATTCACCCAGCTCTTCTTTGTGCAAATGAAAGCTGTTACTTTTTCAAGCCTCTTCTTGAGTCTCACTATGTTTGGCATCTTGGGGACTCAGGTAACCTCTGGGACCTTATAGATCCTACAACATTATCCTAGGACAGGGGTCTTCAAGCTTGACAGCTGTGATGACCCAGGATGGGATACAAAAGCAACGAAGTCACAAAAACAGGTGATTCATTCATTCAACTTGGTTTCAATGGTCCAATTATCATTGACTGGAAAAAAAAACTCCCTCACAAACAGTTATGAAAAGGAAGAAATGCCATTCAAACTCAAACTACATATAAATTTTATAAATAGAAAAAAACAACACAAACCACACTGAAGCAATTAATGAGACAAGGCAGGATAAGGGCTTGAAAATGTCCACAGATATCAAAATGCACACACTGGGAAGGACGCAGCACTGGGCCATGTACAGTTTGTCCTTTTACACAGTCCTTACAGCTGCAGCCCATGAAGGGGATCAGGGAGATTTCCTCCCCCATAGACCATGCCATTCACATTTCTCCCTTATCTACTCCTCCCTTCCTGCCCTAGGATGAAGAGGGGATGGGCCAGGGTCTTCCTCTGAATGCCCAGCTGGCCTGTGCCCTTCCCCAGTTTCCTCCACAACCTCCAGAGCTACACTCCCACTCCCTGTTGGCTGTTCCTCCTCTCCCTCTGAGTCAGATTCTAACAGGGGCATGACAACAGCTTTAAGACTTGTGGACTTCAACTCCCAGAATTCTTCCTCCACTCATGTTAGCTGAGGAATTCTGGGAGTTGAAGTCCACAAGTCTTAAACTTCCCAAGTTTGAAGACCATTGTCCTAGTACATGTATATTTACCTTCATTTGCAGAGTTTACTTGACGTGGTTACTTTCATAGAGCATTTTTTTTATTGCCCTGAGAAAGCATTTGAACTCAGTGTGCCTTTTGGGATTTCAGGGTCCAGAAAGAGAGGAAAACATGGCTTTGCAAGATTTAACTTTGGTAAGTTGATGGTAGTGACATTAGGGATTGGGGGTGGTGGTGGTGGAGTTGTGTGATGAATTGTGTCAGTGGAATGACGAACTTGTAATGTCTGGTGGAGACTCTAATATTAATTAATTTGCTAGTATTTGCCAATTTCATTTACCCAATGATGTGCTTTGTCAGTTTCAGCTTAGCTGTTAACATTTGTACAAAGTCAACACAGAGCTTCAAGCTTTAATCAGAACAGAGCAACCAACTTTGCTTCCTGCAAAGATTTATCTACCTTTGCACCTCCTTTATACCTTAGGGGAGGGGCAATCACCTCCCGAGTTGCCCCTGTTGTCTTAGCTGTTCTTGCCTTCTAGCAGCTCTATACAAATGCTCACTGGGAACAGGCTCCCCTTGTTCCTCTGCCTTGCTGCTGCCAGACTCTGGAGGCTCTGGAGTCAACACACAACTCCCAGAAGGTCCTGGCCTCATCTCTGCATTGGAAACAGGACCCTCATCCAAATCCTCCCGACTCCCAGACTGCTCCCTGTTCTTCCCCACTGTCCAGTTCCACTGCCATCTGAACAGGCTGCCAGTGAACCACAACAATCCCTGATATAGCAGTCCCCAACACCAAGGTGGGAGGATGAGCTTGCCCAGTGGTTTCTGTTAATATTGAAAAGCATAGAAGAGAAGATACCACCCAGAAGGACATCAGAAATCTTTCACCTGGGGTTTGAATTTTCATCCTCCAGTGGTAATTTCTGGACATGTCCCAGTAAGAAGAGCCAAAACCACTGAAGAATAATGTCCCCATTGATGTGTCTGATTTTTCATCAATATACTTTTTTTTCCAGCTATCCCTCTGCACATGCAGCTCCAAAGAAGATGAGGATTCCCAGAGGCGAAGTTGCTTCTCACTGTAATTATCTTCCTTGGGACCTCTTCTGCTACTTCTTCAGTGATGTAAGCATCAGACTGAAACAAAATGGAAGGAATCTTGCATTGGAGAAGTATAAAACCCATTACACTTGCTGAGTGTTTTACATAAGATTTAGAACAGGGTAAGGCTATGCTGTTGAATGTATCTTTGTCTCCTTTTCATGGAAAGCTCGTTTTGTCTCCTTTCCATGGGAAGCTCAGAAAAGCCACTGGCATTTCCATCTGCAGAAAGTACACTGAATTCTTCTAACTCTACTTGTTATTTAGAAATAGAGAGTTGGCTGATTGAACACAAGCAGGAATGGATTTCCTGCTTCTGCTTATGATACTGCTGCTTACGTTAACACAGAGAAACACTGGGAGGCTCAGCACCAAATGTCCCCTGACTTTGAAGCACCAAGACAGAGGAAATCCATGGAACTATTACAGGCCAGGAGACCATCTCATTAGTGTGGTTGAAAAGGCAACAAACCTTCATTTGAGCCATTACAGTTCAATAGGGCTCGTTATATTTCTTCTCCATAAGTCTTTCAGTGCAATGGAGTTGCATTTCCTCCATTTGCATTTCTCTAATACTCTTCTTCCTTCTTTCTTATTTCAGTTATCCCTAAATTGTAGCATACATGTAAGTTCTTGAATCATTCTGATTTATCCTCTTTTGCCTTATCTTGTGTTAGACTAAAGTGGAAGGATAACACTGAACATTTGAACAGTGGGCCCTGTCTAACAGAATGAAATTCAATGTAGAGAAAAGTAAAGTCCTACACTTAGGCAAGAAAAACCAAAAGCACACAGGTAGATTGGGTGAAACCAGGCTCAATAGCAGTAACGGTGAGAGGGAGTCTTAGTGGACAACCGGCTAAATATGAGCCAGCAGTGTGCAGCAGCAACCAAAAAAGCCAATGCAATCCTAAGTTGAATTAACAGAGGGATACAATTGAGATCAAGGGAGGTACTAATACCCCACTCTATAAAGCCTTAGTAAGACTACACCTAGAGTAGTGCATCCAGTTTTGGTCACCACACTATAAAAAAGATGTTGAGACTCGAGAAAAAGCATGGAGAAGAGCAACCAGGATGATTAGGGGAGAGGAGACTAAAACATATGAACAGTTACGGGAACTGGGCCTGGCTAGTCTAGTGAAGAGAAGGACCAGGGGAGACAGGATAGCAGTCTTCCAATATTTGAGGGGAAGAGAGGAAGAGGTCAAGCTATTTTCTAAGGCACCTGAAGGCCAAACAGGAATAATGGACGGAAACTGAGCAAGAAGAGATTCATCCTGGAAATAAGGAGAAATTTTCTGACAGTGAGAACAATCAACCAATGGAACAGCTTTGCTTTTAGAAGTTGTGGGAGGATCATCACTTGAGACTTTCAAGAAGAGATTGAACTGCCATCTGTCAGAAATGGTGTAGGGTCTCCTGCTTGGGCAGGGGGTAGACTAGATGACCTACAAGATCCCTTCCAACTCTGATTATCTGTTACCTGGAAATAAATAAATAAATAAATAAATAAATAAATAAATAAATAAAATTCAAGTGAGTGGGAACTATGAAACATATAAGGGTGTCAAAACTGTTAATTTTGAAACAATGCATACATTTTAAAATAAATTGCAGTATGTAGGATATTATGAGTAACATTGTAGAATTTTAAACTGATCCATTTGA